CTGGTGGGAGTGCCAACTCATACAGCCACTTTGGAAATCAGTATGACAACTCTTCAGGAAAATGGGAATCAATCTACCACAACATCCAGCAATTCCACTCTTAGGCGTCTACCCAAAAGAAACACATTCATACAACAAGGACATCTATTCAACTATGTTCATCACAGCATTATTTGTAATAGCCAGAACCTGGAAGCAACCTAGGTGCCCCTCAACTGAAAAATGGATAGACAAAATTTGGTACATCTACACAATGGATAAAAAACAATGGAATCTTGAAATTTGAAGGCAATTGATGGACCTAGAAGAAACCATTCTGAGCGAGGGAACCCAGTCACAAAAAGACAAACATGGTATATACTCACTCATATATGGATTCTAGACATAGAGCAAAGGATCACCAGCCTACAATCCACACAGCTATAGACGCTAAGAAACAAGGATGAGTCTAAGAGAGACATACATGGTCCCCCGGCAAAGGAGAAAGGGACAAGATCTCCTGAGAAAATTGGGAGGATGGGGGAGGGGAGATGAAGCTAGGAGAATGAGAAGGGGAGAAGAGGAGGGGTGGAGAGGACAGGAGGGAGCAGGAAGGTTGAGTCAGGGAAGAATAGAAGACAGCAAAATAAGAGATACCATAATAGAGGGAGATATTATAGGTTTAAAGAGTGTAGCCAAGCCATCAAACCCAGCCCTATAGGAAACACTTGATAACTAAACCATGGTATAGCTTCAGAAGAAACTTGAAAAGCATCTTTGGAAAGGCTACTTTAAATGCCCTCCCCTGATAATGAGATTGAAGAGTAACATATGTCCCATCCTACAGCCTTCATCCAGCAGCTGGTAGAAGTAGAAGCAGACACTCACAGCTAAACACTGAACTGATCTGTAATCCAGTTGCAGAGAAGGAGTAGTGATAAGTAAAGGGGTCCAGACCAGGCTGGTGAAACCCACAGAAACAGTTGACCTGAACAAGGGAGAGCTCTTGGTCCCCAGACTGATAGCTTGGAATCCAGCATGGGACTACTGATCCAGACCCCAGGAACGTGGGTGTCAGTGAGGAGACATCGGAAATCTATGGGGCCCCTTGTAGTGGATCAGTACTTATCCCTAGCATAGAAATGGATTTTGGGAGCCCATTCCACATAGAGGGATACTGCCTGAGCCTAGATACATGGGATGGGCCTAAGCCCTATCCCAGAGGATATGACAGACTCTGAAGACCCCTTATGGAAGGCCTCAGCCTCCCTGGGGAGCAGAAAGGGTATGGGATAGATAGGGTGTTATTTGGGGGGGGCAGGGAAGGAGGGGAGGGAGAGGGAATTGGAATTGACATGTAAAACAATCTTGTTTCTAATTCAAATAATAATAACAATAATACAACAGAGATCTGGGCTTCACTACAAATGGTTTGGGATTGAGGACGATGTCAAAGAAGTAGCACATCCCAGCATTTACCTACCAATTTATGATGATGAAGATCAATACGAAGATCACAAATATGCAGATAATGACTCCTATGGTCAGCACAAATACTAAGACTGCATCAGTGTCTGGTCTGCTTGTTCTTCTCATCTGCAGTTCTGAAGGTAGAGAAACACATATGATGACTGCTACTGTCAATCAGTAGGGAACAGCTATCTAAATGAACCATTCCTGTATGTGTTTATTTTGTGGATCTGTTTTCTCTAAGGTAAATAAAAGAGTAACTGCTGGCAGTAGGGTATGGGTACACCTAATTTCTTAACAAACTGAGAGAGAACTTTCTCAAACTGACTATCCTGCCTATGTTTCTTGTATTTCTCCCAGATTTCAGTCTGCCTATTTATTTTCCAAGTGACTTATTTTGATAATCTGAAGTTTTTACTTTTGACATAGTGTGATTTACTCAACGTTACTTTTTATGGTGATTGTTCTGAGTCATGGCTAAGAAACCTTGCCTATTACTGAAATCATGAGCTTCTGCCATTTCTCCCTTAAACCTTCACAGACTTAAGTTTTATGCTTAGGATTATGACATAGCTCTGGTTTTTAAAATATAAGACTGGGCTTGACACTCATTGTTCTCCATACAATATTCACACACTATTCCTAAGTCAGGCATTTCCTTTCTGGGGAAAAAAGAAGGCAGAGCTGGTCTACAGTATGTGTGATAGCATCACTGTACTATAAATTGGTGAAGAGACAGCTTCTATCCGTGTTATATATTTTGTGACTATGGTGGCTTTCCTATGGTTCTTTCATTCCCCACGTTCTAAACCCACACAAAAATAATCCATACAGAAAAGGGCCACCAGACTAAATACTATATTATACAGGTAAGTATTTCCCCCATCAGGTAAAACAAACACCAAGGAGATTTATATAAACTATGAGCTGACTATTTTAACTTTTCAATTTTAGTATGTACCACTCTGTGAGAAATGATCCTGCATAGCAATCACCTGGATTTGTTCCTATCTTCTTAATGCCATGGATTATAACCATCTTTTCTTAGTAGTCTCATAGCATAAATGCATTTTGGTGATCTCCCTTTAAACAGTCCTGAGTATAATTGCAAAGGTGCATTTATATTTTTATTCCAATATTGTCAGATTAAGAAAAAAAATTAATGATTTTGATTTGTAGAAAGTGGGGGATTTTTAAACCAGAGAGACGATGTTTAGGACTGAGTTCTGAAGAGAAATGCAAAATTAGTTTGTTTTATTCACTAGCACCCAACGCCAGCCAAGAGAGGATGGAGTAAAGGGTATGGGTATTTATTTCTATTCCTGAGAAAAACAGTCATCTTGCAAGCACCAAGTGGTACTTGTACATCTAACTTTCTTAAGAAGGCTGAATTTCCTCTTAAATTTTTCTAAGAAAAAAATTTAATGAAATTAAAATTAATGAAAAATGGGTTGAATTGCAATACTTAATGTTTTAGATAAAGAAAATTTATGTATACATTAGTTTGTTATCACTACCAAAGCAAAGTACCATAAACTGGTGACTTGGCAACAACATAAATTTGCTTCATATTCTGGAAGCTATCAATAATTGGTGGGATTGGTGGGACTCAGTGAGTCTTGTGAAGGTTGGGGGGTGGTGGTTTTTGAGCTACCTTCTCGGCTACCCAGGCCTCAGCCTGGATCTGCTTTCAAAGTGCCTGTTCCCTCCCCTGCCTCTCTCATTCCTCTTCCCCCTTTTCCCTTTATTCCCTCCTCCCTTCTCTTAATTCTCCCTCTCTTTCTTCTTCCCTTTTCTCTCCTCAGTCCAAAGTTCTCTTTATGTGGACAGCAGTCACAACTCAACCGATTATATCTCCAGTGACCTCTTTTTCAAATATATCTACAATCTAAGTACTCAGAACCTAGGACATCAATGTTATCTTTTAGGGACACATGATTAAATCCCCAAACAAGGCCATATTATGAAAAACAATAATTGTGACCCAGAACATGATATAGAAATGAGAAAGAAAAAATGGGAATGGAAATTTCCTGCCCCCCCCCAGTCACTCCCTGTCTCCCTCCCTCTCTTCCTACTTCCCTCCATCTCTCTGCCTCCATTTCTCTCCCTCCCCCTCTGTCTCTGTCTCTCTGTCTCTCTCTGTCTTTGTCTCTCTCCTCCCTCACTCTCTCTAAGACAGGGTT